GTCACCAGTCTCTCCTTAAGTTCACGGAGAAGCTTCAAGGTCAGAGCTGCCCTGGGAGGGATCCCTATGGGATTGTTCTTGACTCGCTGAGATTCTTCGTAGAGGTGAGGAAGAATAGAATGATCTTCTGTTCGAACATACGAGACGAACGTCACGTCCGAGGCAAGGGCTGTAATTTGCTCGTCATGTCGGAGTGCTAACCGCGCTATGGCGTTGATCAACTCTTTCGATACATTGCCTTGTCCCTGCTGAGTGTTGCCACCGTTCCCATTTTGGTGTCTGGCTGCTCCATTCCCTCTGCCTCCGCTTCCTCGTCCCCTGCTTTTGCCCCCTCGCTGTTGTCCTCTGCCTCGTTGCTGGGGAGTACCTCCACCACGCTGTCGCTTCAGGGGAGAATCTCCACCTGACGGACCTGCCTCTCCCCTTTTGGGGGCAGAGCTCTCATCCATCGATGCTCGCTGGAAGAATTCTTGCAGAGACATTACTCGGGAGATTGGCTACGTCCTGGGGCTCGTGAGAGACGGCGCTGCGAGCTAGGAAGATGACGTAGCTATTTTCTTGAAGCAGGGGATCTTCGAGGGTACAGAGACTAGGAGGGTGAGAGTCATCACCAATATACCAGGCATCTGCTGTGCGTACAGCTGCACGGTAATGGCCACTAGTGGACCCTATTCCTAGGTGAATGATCACTGCCTCTACTTTGTAGGCACAGAACGATACTCGGGATGTGTGGTCCAGGAAGACAGGGATCTGGACTTTCTGTGGGATTGTGATGCGAGTGTGATCCTTAGCTTCACCTGAGAATCTCGGCAAGGCTATGCACACCTGCTGTGCAGCTTCTATGAGAGCACAAGAACGCTCCTGAGATGACCATGCCACTAGCATGTCCTGTAGGTTGGTCTTGATCGCCGTGGCAAGATGAATGGGAGAGCCCCCTTCTTCGTCCACTATCACGCCTTCCGGTACTGAGGCTCTAGTTTCCCACTGTCCAAATCTTGATGCAGAGAGATTCCGAAACACTTGCTGCAGGAACTCAGCAGGGTCGTGCTGGCCTCCGTCAAAGAGCCAGCCCTTGGTGAGCTCCGAGAAGACTCTGTGTTCAGGGGTTATTCTCGCAAGCTGACTGATCCGGGATGCCTCTTGAAAAGTCGCCTCTGTAGGATCTGATAGCCAGTGGAGACACTGCAGACCTGAGTTGGCATAGCAGTGGTTGCGAGTATTGGCTAGCAGGAGAAAGCCTTCCAGTCTGAACACGGGGTGAGGAACTCCTGGCGTTGAATCTGAAGACTTCTTTGTGTCTGTCTTCCCCGATGCCGTGGACTTTGCTCGAGTAAATTCGCGGGGCTGCTTGCTGAGCTGCTGGCGCGCTACCTCCTGCAGTACGTGCACCTGCAGTAATGGAACACACTGCTGAGCATGTCTACCCGGGGCATCCACACGAAGCTTGCAGTATCGACAGCTATCTCCTTTGTGGAAGTAGACCTTGAATTGATTGAGTCTAGGTTGGAGAGTTTTCTCCAGCTTGGCCATCACCTCTGGATGCTGCTTGTTTAAGTGCTGTTTGGCTCCTTTCTGGCCTACGAGGACCTGACCACAGAGTGCACAGTGTTCCATCAGGTAGTCATGGAACGCCGGATTTCGAGCGGCGCCTTCTGGATTGTCCTGGGCATCAGACTGTAGACTTTCTACAAGTGAGATCCGGTTCTGTGCTTCTAAGGGTAGTTCTTCCTGCTGTCTAAGCAAAAGCTCTACCCTAGGGCAGGTAGATGCTTCGACATGTTTGCGCAGATAAAACACTGTTCGGAATGTTGCTCGACAGGCGATGCAAGTTGCTGACCCTGGCATTGAGTGCAAAATAGGATCAAATTTGGGTCCTTTCAAGCACTGCTGAGAGTCTGGGTGAGCCTTCTGCAGATGGCGACGGAGTGCTCCGGTGCCAGAGAGACATGCTCCACATTCACTGCAGGTCAGAAGCTTATCCTCCACACGGTGCGAGGAGAAGTCCGTGGAGAGGCCTTCCAATGCCTGGCTAACTGCCTCAGCACGCAACTTATAGTGTGGGAGAAGCTGGGGATCGGAGTATTGCTGTCTCTTCATAAACTGGGTCATTCTCTTTTGCAGCTGCTCCTTCACGTGAGGAATCCGTAATCTCCGGAGTAACTCCTGGTTTGATTCCTTCGTTTCCTGGGAGTAACTCCGCAGGACGAATCTGAGTTGGTACATCATGTGTGAATGGAGCTTTTGCAATCCCTGCTGTGTCATCCCCACCACGTGGAGTGCATACAGAGCAGAGGCCCGCGCAGTTATTGTCCAAATCGACAGACGACGTCTGTCTGATAAGACTCGATGATTCCGAACTGCATGGGCTACTTCTGACATTGCAAGCTTGCTGGATGACAGCCGATGTTTGAGAGTCTTCATTTCATAGTCGTGATAAGAAAGAATGACCCCCAAGTATGGGACCTGATAGCGCAGCGATATCAACCTGCCCGAAGGGAGTTCGACATACTTCTCTCCCTCGACCTGGCGAAAGAGTTTCTTCCTAATGGTCGAGGCTGAGCCCCCTTGCAGCTGTAGCAGAATTGCTGACTTGGAAGGATTGACCTTGAACCCAAGCTCTACCAGCTGATCCAGAAGCAGGTCGCAGTACCCCAGTGCTGTCATGAGGCCGGCCTCAGAGTCGAAATGCGACTGGATCAAGGTATCGTCAGCGTACATTGTAAGGAGCTTCACTAGTTCTGCTGGGCTGATTTTCCCAGAAAGCTTCCTAAAGAGAAGCCCTGATGCAAAGGCGAATAAAGAGGGTGCTAGCTTACATCCCTGCTTGATTCCCCTGCGTGTGGCTATCTCAAAGCTCTGATCGCTGGCTGTCATCTTGTACAAGGCTTTGATGAATTGCTACCAGCTTCACATCCTGAAATGCGGCACTTTGCAGTACGGAGAGTAACTCTTCCCAAACTGCTGTTGTGAGAGATCCTGCGTTCCAGGATAGATAGCTGAGATTCTTATCTTCTGTAAATTTCGAAGGCCGAGTCCTTCTGCCGGGATTGGTGGGCTTTACATGTGCCGGAGCAACTCCAAGCTCTGTTGACGACATCGTCCTTCCCTTGTAGACCGCACTACCTTCAAGCAGAGCTTTACGTGCTGCCCTTTGATAAGAGCGTTTACCCTTCCCTTTAGGAACGGGCTGATGCTTGGTCGAACCACTAGGCTGTTTCGCAGCACTCATGTTGAGTACGGCTCCTGTCGGCTTCGCAATACCGACAACCCTCACCTCTGGGAGATGTTAGAGAGCTGTAAATCTAATACTCCCTCCCGGACTTGGGACCGGGACTGCTCAGGCGCTGACAAATGCCATGGCAAGAAAGGAAAAAGGCAACTGTACTAGCCTGACCTTTCCTGAGCCGAGAGGCTTAGGCATCTGACCAGCAGCAACCACAACAGCAAGCACATCCACAACAACACCGCAAAGTGACAGCAGATATACATCCGAGGAAAGGCGGACGTCGCAATTCAGGCGAAAAACCCAAACAGGAGCGGTAGGATGACGGAATCATGGCAACCTGCATGGTGTCTTGAGGACATGAGAAGCGGGCTCTTACAGCAGGAGTTGACTCTTTTGCGTGCAGGTCGGGATTGATTACACGGTCTTGGATTGCCGATCTCCTGCTGGACTACAGATTGGTGGATGCAAAGAGCCGTGAGTTTCGACTCGCTTGGATTCTTTGGGTCTGCATCATATGCCTCGCTTGCCTTGCTGCCGCTGCTTGGCCGGTTCACTTCGCTGGTAGTGCTGAGGCATGTTGTTGGGGCAGATGACTGTGTCGCAGGTCACCCTGCTGGCACTGCAGATCGCGAAAGATGTCCAAGATATCATCCGTGGTCAGCGCTGCTTAGCGAGCAGCTAATTCATGAAGTGTTTGTGTGCGATACCGTGGTCTTCGCCACAAGATGGAGCCAGCATCATACAGCGCACAGCCTGGTTTGTCGTTGAATGCGCAGATGCTGACATTGTTGGCACCGTGGTCACCAGTGTGAATGTGGTTGCCCCAGAGACACTGAATGATTGGAGGGGCTCTATCTCCTGTGGCAGCTCTCCTGCCGTCCCAGGTCCTGTGCATGATCGCGGTCGTTCTGAGATACCTTTACGAAGTCCTGCCGTGCTGCACTACACGTGCCGCATAAGCTGGATCAAGGGATGGTAAGATTGACCATGCCCTAATACTCAGCAGAGTCCCGTACAATAGTTTCACGAGCGGCCGCCCAATACGGGAGGGCTTCAGAAGATTCCATGCTGACAAAACGTCGACTGAAGACAGAGGTGCAGGGCGACGTGTCAAGCTTAGTCGGGTGACATGTTCTCGACACAAGTTTCAATACACGGGTCATCTGCATTGCCTGCAGGCTGACACCATCGTCAAGAGTGGGTGGAGCGTGCCCATGCAAGAAAGAAGTGCAAGCGATCCGGGAAGGTCTGTCCCTTTCAATGCAGTGCAGATGCTCCGGCAAGGCATGATTCGGCAACCCATGTTCAATTGTCCAGCCACGGCTCCAAAATTGCAAGCACGAAACACCGTGGGAACCACAAGCGAATCAAGGAGATCACAAGACAGCACAGAAACCACAACAGGATGCAAGAGCTTAAGAAAACGCAGCAACCGCGAGTCGGGTTCAGAGTAGACCAGAAGAACGCTGACTCTCTGCCGCTGCCGGCCCCCCTTTCCCTGGATCGGGAGGGTGTCGCCCGGCACGTATGTCCCCCGTCTATACTGTTGGTTCCTCAATTGTTGTGGATTCCGTGTGTTTTTCTTTTCGTGGTTCTGGGAGTTTCCACCCCCCGACCACATTCGACAAGACTGAGTCGGTCAGTGATCATCTGCGTTGCACTTGCCTACCTACACTGTAGCCACCCGTCCGTGTACACACATGCGAACGTGAACGTTGCTTCAGTGTACACCATAAGACCGGACGGAAGTCAATAACGCGAGCTCAGAGCATCAATGGGGCATCACTCTGCAACTCCACGCCATGTGCTGCGGAAAGGACAGAGACTCAGAGAGGCAACGGCTCAAAGGGTCTCTTTCTTCCTTGCGTCGCCTTCGGGAGGCTCCGGCCGCGTGGAGAAGGCCAAGGCCGGGGCGGCACGGCACTTGCCTCTGCCGAATCCCACCCGCCGCCCGAATCCCGCAAGGAGCCAGCGAAGCACGCTGGGGCCCAGGCTTCCTTCAGAGATGCTCTCCGAGAGGGCTGGGAAGGGCCGCAGCCTGAGTCAGAGCGCACAGCTCGAGAGCTGCGGCACTCGTTCACGCTTCAGCTGAAGCTACAGTCTTGATACGCCCCCAACCAGCATTGCCAGTAAGGATTGGGAGCAGGGGTTGCAGCGAATGAAGACCCTGCTACAAAATTGCACGTGTGTGTTTGTACTCCTTTGACACGGCTCAGGCTCGGTAAGTGTATCCGCCCGCGGCAACGGTCAAACTCGTTTCGTCAGGACGGAAAACGCAAATGACTGCAAGGATTCTGTCTCGGTGTGGGCCTTTGCATGCAAGATAATGGACAAGGTATACCAGTTTTCTGAGGACCGTCGAAAATGCACAACCCCGTAATTGGATCAATACTTCTCCGTGTGCACTCGTGCTTGCGCACAAGTCCGACAAGCAATTCCACACAAGTCCGATCTCGGCCAAATAGACCCACGATATCCAACGATGACTCTGCCCAGTCAAAATCCACGTTCTGCATACTTGCACGTGACCGATCACACCTGAAACTTTCCGGCCGGTACGCTAAGAGAACCTATGTGCAGGGGCCGTGCCTGGGATGCTCAAAACCCCAATCCAACTCAATGCCTGTTCCTCAGCTGCTTTGGCACGAGCTCTCTGTCAGGAGTGGCTAGCGACTGTAGCACTATGGCTGCGCCGGATGAGTTTGCGGGTGAGTACCAAGCTTTGGCCGATCCAGAGAGTGCCGCGGCGCCGGGTGAAGCAAAGCGCTTCAAGCAGATTCTGAAGCATGCGGCCACTGCTGCTGGAGATTCGCAGACCGCGGGAAACAAGGAGGCGAACTGTTCACGAGCAACTAGTCTCCTTCGTATCATCAACCAGAAAGATTAGAGTGTTTCAGCAGATGCGTTTGGTACTGCATCTTTGTCGAGCAATTCTATGATTCGATACTGCTGCCCTACATAGACTTGTTTGCAAGGCATCGAAAGTCAGAAGCACGAACTTCGATTTCCCAACACGCCTGTTTTGCTAGCTGTAGTCACGTAGTGCGAACCGAGAGTCTAAACTTGAAAATGCTGTCTGCTAAAATCCGGGAGGATCTTCTTCGCTTGAGGAGGGTGGTCGCCGCAAAGAAAGAGCGTGAACGACGCCGTGAGGAACGCGGCGGTCAAGGCCACAGCTTCTGGTACTCGCTCGTGAGTTCCCACAGCCATCGTAAAGAGGTGGTGGCTTTCCGACACATCATTGCCACGGTCATTGTGGTAAATGTGATTTGTTTCATAATCCAGACAGACAAGGAGACAGACAGAAAGCACAAAGCCATTTTCAACGGTATTGAGGCGGCATCTTCATGGCTATTCTTGGGCGAGTATCTCATCCGCCTGGCAACAATTCACGAAAATAAGAGATATCACCATTTGTCCAAAGGCTCAGCACGACTGGTATTCTTGAGGAGCTTTAGTTCGATTGTTGACCTAGTTTCGTTTCTGCCTTGGTTTGTCGAGCAAGTTGTGCCGTACGAGCTGCCGAACCTTCAGTGTATACGAGTGATCCGTCTCTTTCGGCTGTTCAAGTCGAACTCCGTGATGAGCTCAGTGGATGTCATTGCTCGGGTGTTGTATTTCAACAGTGAGATCTTGTGCGTTGCCTTTATGATCGATGCGATCCTAATTCTGTTCACGAGCACGGTCTTGTATTACATGGCGCCACCGCCGGACACCCCGGGAGTGGAAGATGATTTCGAGTCCATCCCGGCAACGATGTATTTGTCTGTGATGATGCTCACAGGGCAGGGTCAGCCGAGCGGTCAGCTTCCCTGGTACACCAAGGCTATTGTGGTTGCCACCGCTGTGCTTGCCACAGCACAGTTCGCTATCCCCGCCTCAATGCTCACCTGGGGCTTCGAGCAAGAGGCTGAGAGGCGCTTGCAGAGGAACCATGAGCTTCAGCTCAAGCAACGCGACAAGATCTTGCAAGGTGATTCGGCTTGGAATAACACGGTCGAAATCAGCAGCTCCAGCACCAGTGAGAGTGAGGTCGGGCACGAATGGGCAGAATACGAGGCTGTTGTTGTTGGCAGCGACAGTGAGGAGGAGGGAGGTGAAATCTCGGGCAGCAGCTCTGCACTAAGTGCATCCGAGGCTGCAAGAATAGCCAAGATCTTCTCCACATTGGATGCCGACGAAAATGGAACCTTGGTCACCGCCGAGTTGTGTCAACTGTCAGGAGGCCGTGTAGATGGACAAAATCTAGCGGAGGTCCTGGACGCTGACGGAGATGGCAAGACAACCTCCACTGAATTTCTGGAGTGGCTGGCAACCATCAAGAGCAAGAATGTCCATGTGTTTAATCTGGTCCTATCAGACCTCGAAAAGCTGCGGCCACTCAAACGGAGCCAAGTCCTTCCGAGCTCTTTGGACGCTCTTGCCGGCCAGGTCACCGAATTTGCACAGCAGTTTCGTGACTTGACCACGCAGGTGAAGCAACTACAGGAACAGCTCGCAGCTAAAGATCGTGAGCTGGAACAGTTAAGGAATGAATTGGGCCAGAAGTGAAGGTTCATCCAGCCTCGCAGAGCATGAAGTCAGTCTGACTTGTTCTATTGAAGTGGTGCAAGCCACCCTTCTGCGAATCTAGAGGCTGGTAGATAGGTTGGATCATTGCAGCACTTGGGTCAGTCCCACTCGATTCTAAAATGGACAGGAGCCTCGTTTCATGCCTTCCGAGCCACTTCTGACCGCTTTCTGATCTGCCCTGACATTCACCTCCGCGAGGTCAGTGTTTGTCGTCCGAATGGCAAGCAAGCTCCTTTGGGCCTTGCACGTCTCGGCTAGGCACAGCTGGCTCGATATTATGTCACTTGCATGCTATCCCAACATCTTGTAAACTTTGCTGGAAGGTGCTTCTACTTGTTGGCACGGCTTCTGCTCTACATCTTCCTACTGTTGCCAGTGTTCGTCAGAGCGACAGCTTACTGTTACTTGCCTGCGTCGATGTCGTGACTTGCAGCACAGGCGAGAAGTACTCGTTCTTGAGGTGTGACATTCCAGTCAAGCAACATTGTGTTTGTGTGTACCTGTTGGGAAGCCTTCTGACCTGTTTACATACAAGGCTGGCTACATCCCAGCGTCGCAAACTTCGTCCGCTACGGACCTAGGCGACGTCACTTGATGGACTCTCGGATGGTCGAGAACTGCTGGTGTTTGTGCGAACTGATGATGTTCCGGATTTCATTCTGCATGGCTCGCTGACACCCAAGGACATCTACATGCTCAGGCCACGGCAGAACATGAAAGCTGCATGAAGCAGTGCATAGTGCTAGAATAAATTGCAACTGGGCAGGCCGGAATTTCGGGATGCTGGGCCGCGACCGGTGGCTCTTCCCTTATTGCGACCAGCGACCTTGAGCTCGTGATGGAGAGCTGCTAGGGATTGCAAGGGCCTAGAGAGAGAGAACCACGAGGTCGTATTTTTCACCGGCGGAGTCTGGATCATTGGCTACAAGATGCGACCGGCCCGATAGATTCCTGTCGTGAGCTTGTACTGTGCCTCTGACTCGACAAGATCCGAGGTGGGGAATGCTCATGGGCATGGTCCTTCAACGTCTGGGTATTCTCCTGATAGACCCTTGGCTCACATGTTTGGGGCCGCGTCAATCATGCAGGCTCGATCGCAGCTAGACAACAGGTTCCCGACTACAGGAACTTTCCGCAAGCCACCGGAGACGAAATGGTGGAGGAGCCCTTGAATCGTCAAGCTGTCGGCATGCTACCTTGTTTGGGCATCGTGACAGGACACCATTCTAGCGGTGCAGTGGTCGCTGGACCACTGCGAGGACTACGGCGGAGATCCTTCAAGGCGCGGCTGTGCCGCATCATCAGAGGGATTAGAACGTTTGGAAGGATTTTCCTCGTGGGCCAATCCGCCGGTGCTCACTTGCTCGCCATGGCGCTGATCCGAAGAGCGACGGTTTGGACGGAGAGTGAGGTGAGCTCTCAGTGATTCGGAAACAATCTGAGAAAAAGCAATCGGATCGGCGCTTGTTTTCGAGGCCGAGGCCGGCGAGGCCGCCGAGGCGCTGGGTACAAAAGGAATCCGCTGGAAGCCCAAGGCAGGGCCCTAGGCCTAGGGACCCGTCTCTGGGCTGTCAGTGCTGCAGTATGCTGCAGCGCATTGATGAAGGATTCCTTTTGTGACTGGTTCCAGGAGATTTCGGCCTTCGTGGGAATCTCTGGTCCCTTCGACCTCGTGGGTTTGAGCGATCACTTCCACAGTCGCGGATTGGATCGACGCCTCCTGTCATCAATCTTCGAGGTTCGGACCCAGCGAAGCACAGCGGAACATGCTTCGATGTGCTTAGCGGCGGCTGTGTCAGATCTCGAAGTGCAGGGTCGGCTGGACGACTTTTCCCCGACACGCTTGGTCACTGACCGAGACCTGACGCTGCCACCTGTGCTGCTTGGATACCAGTCATGCAGAGGAGTCGTAGAAGTCCAACCTCAAGAGTAAGACCCTGCAGAGCGGTAGGCTGCTGGTCCACGGCACGGCGGACAGCAGCGTGCCGTCTCGAAGCGCCATCGACTTCGCTGCGGCGCTGCAGGCAGCTGGAGTGGAAGCTGCCTTGAAGCTCTACCCAGGCAGGGCGGCCAGGCATCGCCAGGCCCAGTCATGCCGGGTCCAAAGACTTCCTTCGCTTCCAGGAAAGAGCCACACGGACCCCATCCTCGAGGCATCGTCTATGCAAAGAGGGCAGCGGCCAAGACTTGCATGACGTACCCGCTCTTGAGGACCCAATTGCTGGCAACGATCCGCTCATTGAGGATTTCAGTTCGAGCTAGATGCAGATGTTGACAGCGGCCATTATGGCCAAGAGGTGACTGAAAGACATGAACTGATTTCATGTGGCTCTTGTTACAACCCTGTGTGAGGAGCTGGCTTTCTTGGTGAGAAGCAGCGAGCCCAGGCGAGCCATGGCGCTCATCTGTGAAAGAGAGGGCGGCCAGGCCAGGCACAGAAGCGCAGAAGCACAGACTCTGACTCTGATCGCGGATCGCATCAAACGAGCTGTCATGTCATAGACTCAGTAACTGTGTCGAAAGCTCGAATTCACTGGCAGGATGTGGTGCATGACAACGACTTTCCCACAGGGACTCGAATGATGCCCATGTTTGTGATTCAGTGCCTTGCATTGGTTCGTCCTGACACACGCCCGTGCGCAAACTCAGCCTTGCGCCCTCCAAGGTTGGCTCGCATGGTAAACCCCTTCTGAGATCCGCTCAAACCAGTTTGCGCAAAACCGCGCAACTGTCTCAACCGTGGCTTGCTCATTTGAGTTGCAGGTGATTTTCCGTGTCCTGCAATATAATTATTCGCCAGCATCGGACTCCAGCTGGGCACTGGACTGCAAAGCAGTCCGTTCGAGTCTGGCCTGCGTCGTGACGTCTGTTGAGTTTGCACAGGACTGGCTGCGGCGATGGATATTATGTATAGACTCTCGCCGGTTGTGGAACCTGGCTGAGTCCAACAGCTTAACGTCGTACAGTGGAAGATTGTGGAAGACTGGAGAGGCATGATATCGAAAAGCAAAAGAACTGCTTAGAGACGTTCTGCTCTTGTCATGGCTCGCGCTTGGCTTTGGTACCCAGTACGCGGCTGTGCTGTCGCGTGTTTGCAGGCACTTTTCCCTGCTCTTGAACATTACGCACAAATCTACTGATATTTACTAGTATATTGCACAAATACTGACTTCCTACGTGGGCGGCACTGTGCAGCCGTGCGACGAGCGTGCGCTCTCGCGCGCTCGACCTTGCTGATCTATGGTAATTTGTCACTTGCGTCCACAGCACTGCTAGTTTCCCGGTAATGCACTCACCACAAAGGATAGTGCTTCCCAAGCTGCTTTCGCGACGTCTCCACGCTGTCTCGTTCCTCTATGTTCAAAACCGGCCGCTCCTTTTGCTGCTCGCTCGATGCACCCGTGCCTTGCTCACGGCATCGAGCACACGTAGTCACGTCGGGCCGAGCCAGGAGGCTGGATGGAGCATCCGCATCGTGGGGCGCATCGTCGCTTTTTTGTCAAGACAAGGTCAGGGATGTGCTCGTCCGCTCTGCGTGGCGCGCGGCACCGTTGTACGTGCTGTGCCGGGGCAGGGTTCACCGAGGCACGTGGACTACGGACGAGGAGCCCTGACCAAGGTCGAGCCGTTAACTCCTCAAACCTTTAGGCCATACGGATTTACGTTCGTAAACCCTTGAGGGGTGACTGTCCGCTTCTGGCCCGTCACGCCTGGCCCCAGCTTTGCATGAGTTCCTCGGCGATGGACTGCACAGGGCCAACGCCGATGCGACGGCGCCCGTCCATTAGTATTCATGAGTGTTTCGGGGTCATCGATGTCAGTGATGCAAATTATGCCTGCGTCAGTGGCGTCTGAGCAGCCCGCGGCTTGCAAAACCACAACTGCGAGACCTCGACAACTGTTCAAGTTCAAGCTAATCCTTGATGTTCTCGGTGGGCTTGCACGAGGCAGCCCCATTTCGTGGAATCTGTGGGGTGCGTCGAGCAATCACCTTACTCCCAGAGATCTCCGTGAGGATCCGCGATGGGTTTCAACGTGTTTCAACCAACCGACTATGTCTTGATCCATTTCATCTTGGACCCGTCTTAACCGGTTGGTCATCTGTTCTTTGCAAATTCCTTCAGCTTCCTTCGAAGACGAGAATCCTTCTCCCTCATCTGTTGCGGGAGAGAATCCAAGTCGCGGGAACAGGTTCGCCGAGCGGCACCGAAGCCTTACAAGAAGCCTGCTTTCCCTGCCCGCTAGGGTTCACCACACGGGGCGATGCGCCAGTGCTCCAGCTTGGACCTCGGTCCGTATGATCATGTCTCGCACCAAGCCCATAGCACAGCTGCGTTTTCGCGTGCCAGTTGTTCAGCACGCCTGGTGCCTACACCGAGCTCGACATGGGGAGCAGACCCCTTATGCTGCCAACACCGACGCTTGCGTTGTTTCCGGAGCTGACAGCGCCTTGGGGGCCGCTTGTTGGAATATCTGGAGCCATACGCACACACCTGCAACACAACAACAAGGGACAGGGAAAGGCCAGCAGAAGGGAGGCGTGAACGCCGTGGGTGACGACACTGCGTCGCAAATCCCTGCGGTCCGGGCCGAACAGCAGCCACCGCGCGAGGGCCACCTGCGGCATCACGGACGACATTTTGTCGGTGACCCAGAGGCCCGAGCGGTTGAGGAAATTGCGAGAACAGGCCTGGGTGGCATGATGCCGAAACGACGCGTCCCATTCAAGCAGCTGGTTTATGGGTTGGCTTGTGTAGCTTGCCTCGAGGTTTTGCCCCAGGACAGCTCGCACGGTCTGTCGACCTAAATCCCTTATCCTGGATTTCGTTCGTGTCGCCTGATGTCAGGTTGAATGGGGTATCCACCCCGGTTGCCCGGGAGGCGTTGTAAAGAAGTGGATGCAGCATGCCCGATTGATTTTAGTAAACAGGTCCTAACGCGAAGTATGCTTCAAATTTGGATGATGTTGACAGCTCGCGGCTGTACTCACAGTGGCAGCTTGTGCCAGACAACACACCCCATCGCGCACGGTCGAATATTTATTATGAACCTGAACATTCTGCATTAACCCTATTTGCAGATGCTGCGTCTGTCTTCGAGTGAGTGGATTCGAACTCGCTGATCCCGGCCTTGGCGTCACCCGCGTTGGCAATGCTCAGCTTATCGTTGGAGTGGGGTCTGACTCGCCCTCGCTGGACCTTCGTCGTGCAAGCAGAAAAGTCCCACCGTCTGTGGAAAGAATCACATGTCGTGTTGAGGATATTGAAGGCCACACTGGAGAATGTGTTACATCAGGACATGAATTATGCCGAGGAAAACGCGACATCACAAACTTGTTCAGTTCATCATCCCATCACTTGAGACGGCGACCTTGCCGTTGCTTTGGTTCACGTTCGATTTTGTTGGCACACGCTTTTTTCCGTCTGCCAGGGACTGTCCAGTCTACCCCTATATGTACGACGCTTATGGGGCACGCGGCGGCAGCAAAGAAGGTAGCGTCGCCTCGGCATCGGCTGCCCATCGCTATACTCGGCTGCACTGGTGCGCCAAGTATCGCCAAGTGCCGCCCAGCAGCATGGAAGCGAGGGCACGCTGCTGCGCACAGATGTGCACAGCTCAAGAACCCAACTGCAGCGGCGCCGCCAGCCTGCCGTAGCGGCAGCAGCATTGCGGGTGGAGCTTGCAAAGATCGCACGCGATGATTTTCACTAGAGGTACGCCCTGTACGCTTCGGAGCCTGCTCATGTTGACACACGCCGTGTCGCGGGTTGGCCGCCACCAAGCCGCTCGCCTGCTGCTTCGACGACCCAGCATCCTCAGCCAATGGGGCAAGGGACGACCAAGTATTTGCAGACCAGGCAAGGCAGCCGCTTCTGCAGTCACTGGTGGCGAGTGCAAATTGCCGCAGGAGCCTAAAGCACCCACGGGCGGCCACCGGAACCACGCCAACCTGCAGCATGTGACGGATGATTGGCGTCGTTTCGGCCCGCCGAACCGGTGCGCCTCGCACTGGCCTCACACCGGCAGCATTCGGAAGCTTTGTGCACGGCTAAACAGGGGACCGCTGCAGGTTTGTCTGGAGCTGCCGTCGAACACTCTCAGTTTGGACGTGCCGGAGTCGGTGCTGCACGCTTTCGCGTTTGACCGTGCTTGCCTGCGGGTGGAGCGCGGAATCGGTACCGGAGACACGCCGCGTCGCTTTGTCACTCGAACGCTCGCCGGGCCGTTCGTGGATGCGTTTGACCGGCCAACTCGCCCAGTGAGCGGCTCGCGTTGCAAGCCCGTGCCGGCACAGATTGCAGAGCAGCCATGTGACGAGCCGCGACGAAGCGGGATGCCGATGCACGATCGTTTCGTCAGGTGGCCGATGCGCCGCCGACACCGTCTCCAGCACGGCTTCCTGTCAAAACGGGAAGTGCCCCATTCGCTGCTGCCGTATGTGCGCGCCTGGTACGACGCCGTCTACGGTTATGATCTGCCGTGTGCATTGGTATGCGGATGGGCAGCGGCACTACGTGCCAGAAGGAGAAGTCTGCGCGATCAAGGCGACGCGCGGGCTCCGGCAGCGTTTGCTCTGGCACAAAAATCTGCTTTGCACGAAGCGCAGTGTCGCCTTCAAGCAAGCGAGTTCTACGCAACCTTTATGGGTGACCTTTGCCTCGTCACCGAGCCGCCCGTCGAAGATCGTCGAGAAGCGCGCCGGAGTAGCGGTTAATCTCGGCCAAATCCGTGTTTATGCGGATGCCGCAAGCTGTCCCCCGCCTCAGAGCTCGGGCCAGCCGCTTGGTGCGGTGATGCGAACTTAGCGGAGCGGCTTTGTCGCGCTCGGCGTCCCCATCGGCAGAACCAACTTGGTTTGACGCCGCGGGGAGCCATGGGGAGCGACTGCAACCCGAGCTAAGTCTATTGCAACAACGCACACAGCTGCCAGATCTGCAACTTGCATTGCTTCTTTTGCTGTACTGCGCGATCTGCCGGGTACCGCTTGCAATACGCACTGCACCGTCCTCCGAGTCCGGCGAGTACCAGGCCGCACACGATAATGCCATAAGGCGGACATTGAACAATCGCCGCCTCACATGGTGCAAAAGGCCTTAGCTGCGACGGTGCTCTTTCCTTAAGGTGCCGAACGGCTCGTTCAGCTTTTCCGTTGGATTCATGCTCAGAAGGAACTGACATGGTGCGATGGATTCTCTTTTGCTCCGCGGCTGTCTTCATGTCTTTGGCCACAAACCCAGCAGCGCAATCACTGTGCAATCGTACCACTTCTCGCTTTTGCAATCATGTCAAAAACTGCCTCGATGACCTTTGCCTTCAATCTGCATTTCAACGGTCTGCAGAAGTATAAGGGATCAGACTCCGGAGCGTTATAGTTTCCAATCAAACCACCGGCTCCTCCAGCGGGCCAAGTATCTGCTGCGCATTTTGCCTCCCCACCTCACCACCGCTTACGCTGATTCGCATGACGCAGCAGTTGCCCGGTGCTTTGCCACACTACTCTAGCACGCGGCCGGCCCCCTGCCATTAGTTAGCATGCCCAGCTCGCTCAGTGGCTCGGGGGTCTCGGCCTCCGCTCTTGCCGCCTTCGCCGCGCATTAGCGCCTCGTGGTGTGAGACTTTGCCCGTTATCCACACCCGTGCCCCCGCTGCGGCTGCCCAACTGCTTGGCGCCCTCCTTGGCATCCTGCCCCGT